CCAACCTAATAGCGATGGCCTCCAACCTAATAGCTTCTTGTTACTAGGAATGGCCTCCAACGTAATAGCGATGGCCTCCAACCTAATAGCTTCTTGTTACTAGGAATGGCCTCCAACCTAATAGCGATGGCCTCCAACCTAATGGCCTCCAAGCTCATACCCGGAAGACGCAACTCAGCAATCTCCGGAAGCTGGTATCAGGCCGCCCTTCAGTGTGGCAAGCGACGCAGAGAGGAGGAGGCGCTATGCTCTTGGGCATCGGATCGTTGGTCTGTGACGTTAGGGTTGATTGGGGTGTCGTTGGAGGGATTGGGTTTGCATTGTTTTCCTTTTAATACATGTGATGTTTGTGATGCATTTGGGGAAGCACCCGGTTTGGGGCCGCCGGGGGCAGTTGCTGCGAGTGCAGGATGCGCGCACTCTTTTGACATATAGTTTCGCCTTTGAATCTCTGCTTGGATTCCGGCTCCATGGTCCATGCACCCTTGAGGCAGTTCTGTGGAAACCTTGGAGGCTCCAGCGATTGGCATTCCAGCTGGAAAAAACTGTAGCAGTCCGTCGCTGCAAGAATCCAGGCCATGGCGCACATCCTTCGTCGGCAGGCTGAAGCGATCTTGACTGGCCAGGGCTGTGAGCTGGATTTCCGCGGGCAGAAGCTGGCTGAGAAGCTTGGTGCCCGCGTGGTGCTGGTGGACCAGCTGCATCAGATCCTGTGGATGAGAAGGGTGAGCCAATGGTCCTGAATCCTCAGGGTCTGCACCGCATGCACAGAAATGTTCATGGACTTGGGCACGTGAAACGCTTGCATGCCCCAGAGCCCCTGGTCCTTCCAGGTGATCACTATTGCCTTGAACGAGCCATGTTTCAGGAACTGGGCTTGGCTCCCACCATGGAAGAGTTGATGTCCAGCTGAATGATTGGATTCGTCGCGAGATGTCGGACTGGAGCTGGCAGAAGTACATGGACTTCACCAATGCAGGCAGATTTGGATTGAAATTTACGGACCATTTTATGATGAAGCATGGCCCGCAACCAGATCCCAAGGCAGCGCATCATTTTCGAAACCTTATGCCCGAGACTCGATCCACGCAAAACACATTGCTGAGTCAACAGGCATTCACTGATCTGGAACGAACGCTTGTCGAGTATGAGAAGGAGCAAAAGAAGCTTGGCCGTGTTGGCAGAGATGGAGAGGAGTTCCAAGCCGATGTTGTTTTGGACAACGATGTGGAGGTGACAGACACCGTCATGGCAACACAATCTCCACAAGATCACCAGGTTGCGGCTCATGATCCAGTCTGCTTGCCTTCGCGTAAGTGCAGGCGCGTGCATGTGGCTGGAGAATGGAGCAAGGGTGAAATGCTGGTGAATCATTTTGGGGCGCCCAAATTTGGCTAGGTTAAAGGCCAATCATCGTTTGCGCACACCGAGGCTTGAATCGCAGTCTTCAAGTTCTTTAATGTCACAGCAGTGGCTGCAGGTTGAAAAAGAAGACCACCAGGATGGCTGGAGCCTGGTGGGTGGCAGGGGAAATGAATGAGTCTGCACTTTGTACCTGGGGGTCAACATACAGTGCCTTTTGGGGTGTACATATAAGTCCCAAATTTGCAGGACAAAATTCTGTGCCTGACGGGATGGTCAACCTTCCTATTTGGAATTACAAGATCCAAGAAATGGGCAACAGGAGATTGATACTCCCAAGTACCAGGATAGGATAACCCATGCTCTGCATGAGCAGCGCAGGATCCCAAAGCCAGGGCACCTCCTAGTTGAGACCTGTAATCCATCCCTATGACGCAAGAAGTTGAGAGGAAGTCGGCAACGCTCACAGCACGACTTCGCAAGGCCGATCGTTTCACCACGCGCTGCAGCCAAAGGAACGAGAAGCACCGCTGGGGAACTCTGAAGAGTTGGGGGGCTGTTGGAGTCGGAGGGTCCAGCAGATTGGAAGCCGTTGCTCGTGAGGATGGAACTAGATAAGAAAGGTTACGGCATTTCAGATGCATCTAACGAACCTGACCATGTCCACGTTCCCCAATTTGGGTTTGTGCAAGCGTCATGTTGCGTGTGTGAGTTAGGCCGCGAATACTGAACTTCTACAGCTTTAGCTTAGGGGGGTGGTTTTTGTGTTTGGGAATGGAATTGCATATCCTGCATCGTGAGGTGTGTCTGGAGGTGAAGCGGTGGTGGGAGAAAACATTGCAACAGCACAGGGAACACGCGGAAGAGGGCATGAAGTGGTACGCTTGCAGTGAGAAATGGCCCAAACTGTCGTTTGTTTGGACGTGGTGATGCAACTGACGCTAGTCTAGTATTAGTATTAGTAAAACACAGATGTATTTAAAACTACGGAAAGCATGATCGACGCAAGACCTGGAGATCAGTGGTTTCAAAACACTAGTCAATCGCATGATCGAGATAAGACCTAGAGATGAACTGTAGCATGCAGTGGGCAGTGGACGAATAAAAGAAGCATTTGGGAAATAGACAATTGCAGGCATTGTTGGATACACTTTGGCCACCCCCAAAACATGCACAATTTGAAGAGGTTCGAAAAATAGAGGGATTATATACAACAAACTATACAATGACAATGTGCATGATTGACATAAGACCTTGAGATTGACGGTACTATGCAGTGGATGAATGGTAACTTGCAGGGGTGTTCAATTGTTTCCTGGTGCTGTCTCTCAGAGCGAATGGTGCGGGCGGCTATCGTCGAGAAGCGACCTGAATAACGATCATCATCTTCATCATCATCATCATCATCATCATCACCATCACCATCATCATCATCGTCATCGTCATCCTCATCCTCATCCTCATGATGATGATGATCATCATCATCATCATCATCATCGTCATCGTCATCGTCATCGTCATCGTCATCGTCATCGTCATCGTCATCATCATCATCATCATCATCATCATCATCATCATCATCCACTACTGATTGAAGACATCGTGCACCAACAATGCATACTAGACTATCGCTATCAAGAAACACATCATGTCGCTACCATTTGCAGTGTTTGGTATGCCAGGCGCTGGATGTCTTTAATCCACCCGTCACCGGAGTGCCACTGAGGTCGGATGATCGATGACTGGGATCGACAGCTCGGGGCCGCAGTCCTTCTTGGTTGGGTCAATGGTGTCGGCTGACGCTGGGCGTGCAGCAACCATGGTCAAAGCTGGGTGCTTCCCTGCGCCCTAGACTAGTGCAAAGATGCTGATCCACTTTCAACAGGGACTATTATATGTAGGACGCCCAAAAGGGCCCTGCGCAAAGGTCGAAGATCGTCATCCAGAAATATGTACTTAAGGAGGCATGGCACAGTGGCACCGATGAAAGCCTGTGGATGGCATCATTTTTCTGACCAAACACGTGACGACTGGAGTCAGTCAACCCCATGGGTCCTCCAACTGGCTTGGGTGAGGGAGCACGACGCAGATGAACGCAGATCTACATCTGTCCAGATTGCACGTCCAGGCTCCGGCAGGTTGCGCTCTTGGCTGCTGCGGTGCCTGTGGGAAATGCCGGAGGCGTTGAGGGTGGTGTGGTGGCGTGGTGGTTGGGGTGTTGTTGTTATTTTATCCTACTCAAAGGATCTGAAGGATCTAAAGAATCGGATTCTTTCATCCTAGCTTGAGCCGGGACGAGTGTTGAAAGAACCTCAAAGGGCGCCTGCCCCGCAGGAGATCTCGAAGCTCAGCAGGTGGAAAAGAGAGCGATGGCTAAAGTGGTGTCAACTTGAAGTACTGTGGAAATCCAACTCCGTGAGGTTACGCCTACGCGAGAGTAGCCGACCCTTAAGGTAACCTCCACCCTACTAGCGATGGCCTCCACAAATAATTGAGCCTTCCAGCACTTTCAGGCCTGAACATGTTGGGCACACTGTTTGTCCAAGTCGAGGCATACTGCAAGCATACTGCATACTGTTGCAGTTTCCAGCTCCGGTTCAACCAAATAAAGAGGCGGTTCAGTCAAGAAGCCAGGTCATGTAACCAGTGCACTAGAAAGAGCTTGTTAACTTCAAGGTTCTTTGAACTGCACACCACTTTTGCACAGGGCCATTAGGATCATTAGGAGGAAAGGGAGGCTGTTACAGCATTCTCAAGATACACAAGAGGCATAATAGGCCCATGGAGAGAGGTGCAGCAGAAACCCTATGGGATCTCTGACGAATCTTTTTCGAGACTTGAGTATCCCTGATTCCCTCTCACCATTAAGACAGGGTAGTTTTCGATCACCCAGGTTCAGGCAAATTTGATCAGAACCAAGTGCTTGTACGACGCCATGACTGGCCTGGACAATGTGGGGACGCGCTCCAAGCGACGAGAGAAGAAGCACTACGATGAACACCAGGAGCTGCGCCGGGCAGAGATGAGACAAATTTGGTGTGTCAATGTCTGACGAATCATTTTGGATGCTACCTTCGCGTTGGTTGTCAATGAAAGGTTGGTTCTTTGGGCCAAGCGTTTCTTCTGGTCAAGAAGAAGAAGAAGAAGAAGAAGAAGAAGAATAAGAAGAAGAAGAAGAAGAAGAAGACGAATAATAATAATAAGAAGACAAAGACAAAGACAGAGACAAAGACAAAGAAGCAAAAGGAAACAAGAAAAAGAACAGCAAGCACACACACACACAAGAGGAGAAGCATAAGTGCTAGAAGCTACAAACGAACAATGGCCATCGCTATTAGGGTGGAGGCCATCGCTAGTAGGAGGGAGGCCATTGCTAGGAGGGTGGAGGGCATCGCACCCTTCTAGGGTGGAGGCCATTACTATTAGGGTGGAGGCCTCAAGGACCTGAGTTGATCAACCTCCGAGCCCCACCCAGGACACTCGCTGTGTCTGGGAGGCCTTCGGCAGCGCGGCGCCCTCGCGCTCGCCGTCGCCCAGCCCCTCGGTGCCATGCTCGCCACAAGGGGCGGCGGCCGGGCGCGTGCTGGATGCAGGACCGGGGCCATGAAGGGAGTGACTGGGAGGGGAACAGGTCCGAAGAGGGGGTATGATAGAATTCTGGTCGGAGCTGCGGATCGTGTGTTGGGCCGAAAGTGCTCCTTTTGGTGTCAGGAGCTGTTAGGTAGTTCTGGACCTGGAAAGAAGACGGACCGAATGACAAAACATGACACCGTACTCTCCTGCAAAAAACCAGATCCGTGGGCCTCCTCAAATGAGTGACCTGGTTGCGTGTTTCTTTCAGAAGTTCCTAAGTGTGAGGAGCAGGTGCCAAGCACCTAAAGGAGCTGACGAATCTGCATCCTTTGAAATCCGGTAAATCCTTTGAACGCACATGACATCACATAGCTCATTTGGCATCCAGGCTTCGTCATATATTTCGGGCTGGCACAACCCTCAGTCACGGGACTAACAGGGTTTCAATCCTAACAAAGAAGAAACCAAGCACCACAAAGAAAGCCGAGATGAAGCCGTTCTTGTGGACCTCAGACATGCGGCCAGGCTTTTACGACCTGCACATCGGGGGTCGCAAGGCACGTGGACACTTTGTACAAAACTCTCAGGCGCCTTTTTGGGACCCGAATTCACCGGCCCGGTGTCGGGGAGATTGGCACGGTTTCGGGCGGGAGGCTTCGTTCGGCTTCCGCGGATTCCGCTGGGGTCCGACGGGCGATCGGGCACTCGCCAGGGGTGCTTTCTCCGCGCCGGTCCGGCTGGTGCGGCATAATCGCTTGACGGTGGGCACAGTGCCAGGTGTGGAGATGCTTGTTGCCCCAGGCAGGGCTGGCCCAGATCTGCAGTTCAGACTGTGCGGAAGTGCTCCCTCACCAACGAGAAACAGAGACCTGTGATCGCAGAGGTCGCGTCCCGGACGGATGGCAGTTCGTCTCTGTTCGGCCTCAACGGCCGTCCCTCAAGCGGCCAGGCCCATACAGAGGCCAGAGGTGGTGCTCCACAGGACGCAATGGCCGGCCCCATTGGGCGGTGACAGGCCGCAGGGAGATTTCGGGGCCCCCAAGGACCAGGCCTAGGCACCAGACAGGATCCTGAGGACATGGGAGTAGGCGAAGACAAAACTTTCGGCAGTTCACTCTCCACTAGGACAAGGACTAAGGTCCTCGCCTAGGACCCTGTTTGGATATCTGCGGTGTGGCTAATCTAAAGGCCAGTGCTACGGCCCCCTTTCCCCCTCCTAGGACAAGGACTAAGGTCCTCGCCTAGGTGCTTGGCTATATGGCCACTCCCTGTTGCTTTATTGGTGCATGATACGCAAACGCTCGGGAAAGCTTGAACAAATAAGACGCTCCAAGGTGAGATGACTCACGTTTCCTCTACTTCTTTGCGCCCAAGCAGTCTGGTTGACGTGTCCTTTTCCAGTGTGGGTTAGACGGTGAGATGTATTGTGACAGTCACTGTCCTTTTTCTGACTGATCATTTCTGACCCAGAAGCACTACCCATTGGACATGCAGGACACAATGCAGAAAGGTGCAGGCCGGCAGGGCCGCCAGGGCCGGTCAGACGTCCTCGGGCCGACAAGAACTCACCCAGTTAGGTCCTTACTGCCGTGACTCATCGCATCGAATGACTGCGTTCTGGTGCTCCCCGTCACCCACCGTTTGGACACCGCCAGCGTGCGGTGCGAAACTGATCGAACACACTTCGGAACACATGACTAGGATTCGGATGCTTCCATGTGGGTTTGCCAGGAGGGTTTGGCTTGCGCACCCTCAATGTGTCACGAGTTACGAGACCAAGCCGTTTGATACTGGTACGAGGGTTGAACTACTACATACTACTGCTTGTATTGGAGCCATGGCGCATAAATGACCAGGAACCATAGGTGATCTGGGGAGTGTTGATGTGGGAGCAACTTTCAAGACTTAGACGCAAGAATGCCAAATTGAGCACGATGGATTCGTGGACTTCTTTCCAGGCAAACAGGGAAGTGAAGAAACCACTCAAGCAAAAGCAAATGAGCTTATTTCCTATCTTTGGTGAGAGCCAAATGACCATCACAACACATTACCAGGTCTGGTCTCGTGACTAGTGGAGTCTCTTCACGCGAAGCCAGACTGGTCGGTGGAGTATGGCTTTGGACGCCTGGGCAAGCCCGTAGCCAGCCGGATGCCCCAGAAAAGGATAGGAGGAGGGTTTCTGACTTCTGGACTTTAGGGATTGTTCCCACGATCTGGTTGGACTCGCACTCTGGTTATGTCTCATCCTCAGTCTCCGGACCTTCTGGAGAATTGTCAGATGCACTAGGCAAAGCGGAAGTAGTTTCAGTGAGTCTTGATGAAGTTCGCGAGCAGATGAATGAAGCATGGGCAGCACATACATGCGACATCTCATTTTGCAGGGGATTATTGTAACTCTGGAAAAAGCACGCCAAGCACAACATGCATGCTCAGTCTCATTCAGCCTCGGGATGGGATGAGATGGTGTTCTCATGTGTTCCTGCATGTTCCACTTCCCCACTGTGCCCGAAGTGCTCCTAGGAACAAGCCAAGTGGCGCTCGAATGGCCAGAGCTGCGAGTGGCCAACGCCCCCACGCTGGACGCCAGTCGTGGCAAGAGCCGCGTGGGGCACTTTGGGCAGGTGAGTGCCCCTGCTTGCTGTGGTCGTTGGCGAACTGGGCGAGTGTGGATGAGCGGGCACTCGGGCAGATACTCTGAAACATTGGCTGCTGTTTTGAAGGAGTTTCTACTTGCAGGGGGTGTGGGTTTGAGTAGGCCCACCCCATCGAGCCTGGTTCTTGCGCCAGGATTCGCATCAGACCATGGCGTGCTTGCAGATGATGCCTTCAGGCTCGCCCAAAAGCATCCAATTGCAAATCTCGAACTGGAGCTCCCAACAGCTAGCATGAGTCCCTTTGCATGCGTTTGGCTGCCCAGATGCAAAGATGCATGCCTTTTGCTTTGCCTTCAAACATATGGAGGTACTTCTGTGTCTTGGAATCTGACACCTCTACTATATCGGTGTAGAGATTCATTCCGAAAGCAGAACATACACACGCCTTTCAACAAGGACGGTGTCAGAACCCAAAGATGCCTTGTTGGGTTGGAATCTGCCCCTTTGCAACTTTTTTCAGGAACGGCCATGTCACAGTGCGAATTTGTGTCAGGACGTGAACACGTGACTGTGAGTCCGCGGGGAGCATCACCAGGGAGGTGCCTGAGGGCAGCATCAGTGTGTGGACTGGTGTGTTTGTGGAAGGTCTACTTCACTCGAACGCGCAGGATTGGCGTTTTGAGTTTCTGACATGGGTGGCACACAGACCGGAGGACTTGCCATGTGACATGGTGGCAACCCCAGGATCATGGATTGGTGAGAGATGGGCAGAGTGTGAAATACATCCACTGCCTCAAATCAGGTGGGAGGGGCGGATTTCTTTCTTCCAGAGCAAGCCGAGCAATCCCTTTTCCGTTGGTGCCAGGAGCATTAATCCAACCAACGACAGTCGTCGCCTTGGTCATTACTGGACTGGGCCCATGGATCTTGTGGGCCTTGACTGGGAGCATGAGAAGCCACAGCCATCCCGGGTTTGAACAGAAGACAGTAGACAATCCAAAGTTTTCTGTAGTTTCATCATCCAACACCAAGCAATTACAGTCATGAGAAGACATCCCATATGGCCATAGGGCGAATGTTCACCACGTTGGGCCTCAGAACTCACCACAGCTACAGTCACAAGGAGATGTGTCTTCCTTGTTGATGATGAATTACAATGAACTGCCTGGTCATGTGATACGTGTGATGTGTATGTGGTTTCTATGTTTCCGCCCACCCGGTTGAGGTTGGGTGGGCTGGTCCAAGGAGGAGGGGCAGGCGCGTGAAGCGCGTCCGCACATAGACCCAGCAAACTTCGTGCCCCCGCCCATTTTGGACTGCGTGTGTGGTGCAGGGTGCACTGGCTTCCGTGCAGGGTAACACTACCTGCATCTGCAATCTACAACGATTTTTTCATTTGCTTCGAATACTTTTGTACAGCTTTCCGGCGTGCTCTTGCTTTGACCTCTTGCTTAGGTGCAGTCAAACCGCTGGGGCTGTTGGGCACCGGTCCGTCCATGAGCGGATTTCGACAGGCCAGCGTGAAGGAACAAGCGGAGCTGCTGAGCCAAGAGGAGGTGCTCGAAAGATTCTGGGTGAGGAAAAACACTTTAGAATGCTTACTTTAGAGGATTTTGAGCTTTTTTGTGTGAGTCTCTTTTGCTTGGCCATCAATGGCCAAGTGCTTAATGCGGGATGGAGTGACCCTCACTAAACATATGTAAACATGTAAAAGCAAACGCATCACCATTCACCATGCATACATATTAAATATCGATATATTGTATCATTTCCTGCAAGCATGCTCCTTCTGGGACTAGAAGCATCAAATTTGGCATGACTGCTGGCGACATCTGGCATCTGAAGCTTTCAGGGTCTCGGGGTCTGGGGGTCGCTCATTTTTTGGGGAAGTGACTAGTTACAAAGACGTGGGTTCAAAGCCTGATCGACCCTGCAACCGAAACCATTCGGTGTTGCCCGGAGAAAGGTGGCTTCCTGCATGAAATCTGACTAGGGAGCCCTTACTGACCTTGGCACCGGAACTTTTGAGCTGATGGGATTTTTGATGGGTGCAAATAGCAACCCCTTAGTTTGACTGGGGATTTCATGCCAGTCCCCAATATCACAAGCAGCCTCAAAGAGAGAGAGAGAGAGAGAGAGAGATAGAGAGAGAGAGCGAGAGAGAGACATAGAGATAGAGATAGATAGATACAGTGATGGTAGAATCTTGTTGAGCATGGACAGCATTCCTATGATTTTCTTCCAAACAAGCGACCGGTGTTCGTCTTACACCTGGCTTGATCCCTGGCGAACTGCTCCACAGGTCCGTGCTGGCATGGTGCGCCGCGCCGGCCGCCGTCCGCCTGGGCTTGTTTGGTTTCAGCGGATGAGGTGGAAAGAAGACCACCCGGCGCAAGCTCCAGACACCACTTCAGCTGCTCCCTTTCAGCTTGGAAAGGAGGCTGCGCATGTGGGTGACTGGTGTGGCCAACGGATCCAAACACACCCATCGATGCGTTTTCCACCGAACACTCGGTGACACATCTGAACTTGCTGAGCTGGGACCGGTTGCGCGTGGCGTGGCCGTAATGTTTTTCAAAAGCGAACACAAAGAGGAAAAGAGAAGGAAAGGATATTCCTTGAATAATGCTTAATAGCTTCTTGTTTCTAATAGCGAACATTGTTACTACTAGTAAGGCACTTGTTACTACTAGCGATGCACTTGTTTCTAAAGCAACTTGAGCACCAACTTCTGTTTCCTTTTTGTTTTCCCCACACGTGGACAGCAACCGGACCCTTTCCTAAGTTTAGGCGCCACCGGTCGCCAGGTCTTCGGCCCACCTCCCCGAACAACGCCTTGAGGTGGGCGAATGGGAGGACAGGACAGTTGGTCCAAAACGAGGACAGGTGAGTTTGTGATGTTCTTCGGTGCGTGAATCCATCCGAATTCATGTGTTTGGTTGGTGAATTCTGCTTGGCCGATGGGAATGTGCGATGAACGAGGTTATATGTAAAATAGCGGTTATATTTGTGGCCCCACATAGACAAAACTACAAAGGATCAACTTTGCTTTATTTCGGGGGACATCCTTCTATCTGTGTGACGATGAGCTAGTCACCCTTTGAATTCACCTCTTGCTATAGGTCAGTCTTTTGGGTCCCGAGCTCTCTGTGGATCAAGCAGCTGACCATTTTGTGGATCTCGATTTGTTTCCAAGAACTTAAGTTACTTAAGTTGTCCGTTTTTCCTTTCAAACCTTCTTTGTCCACCTCACATCACCCAACTAACATCAACTAACTACAAGCGACTGCAAGACTGCTCTGGTGGAAAGCAGTGGAGAACTTCTCTTCCCAACTGCCCCTGTGCGACCGTCGGCCTCTCACCTGGACCGGTCCCCGCTGTTTCCTCCCCCCATGACCGGCATCCGGCAGGGCGAACGCAGACCCATTCAGCTCGGTGAGACATGTGACTTGGTGATGGGGAGAGGTGATGGGATGGGAAGAGGAGTCAGCATCCATAGGATGGGATGGGTGAGGAGTCCACGTCTCGATGGCTTGAAGAGTTGGGTGTTTGTCTTAAACAGAGCGAAGCATGGCGAAGCCACTTCTAAGGCATGCCTTTGGTTCATGCGGTTTGACGTTCGTGTTGCACCCGCGTTCTTTTCATTTGGGGTCCAAACTTGGCAACAGCAGCGTCTCAGGATTTGGGATCTGTTTGCAACACTGAATGTACTGAGGATGACTTGCGGATTGAGAAACACCTGCCCTGCCGCGGGAAGAAGGTCGGTGTTTGGCACCCCAGACACCGTGGGGTTGGGCTTGGAGATTTGATGCAGGCACCACGTACGAATCCTGGAGCCTCAACATTCAGGTCAAAGCATGTCAAAGCAACAATGGTCAATCAAAGCGGCCGCCTGGGTGATTCTCAATTGAACTAGCACAGTAGAGTGGTGTCAGTTGAAGAAGGTTGAAAGTCAGTGATTTTGTTGAATTCTGCGGCTGAGAGCAGTGACAACAATGTGAACAGCAAATCTGAGGGACAGTTGGATGCAGGTGGACTGGGACTAGGCCAGATTGGTGCGATTTGGGTGAGGCTCTCCAGAATGGCTCTCAATTAGGCCGCAGTTTCGTTTTTCATCATTATCATTTTGCAGGCAACATGCCTTTCTGTCTCAGTGGTGATATCTCCTCAATACACACTGCTAGAGACACCACAGGTGTGCCTGTTTCGGCCTTTTTGGTGGTCCGTGCCACAAAACCCGTGGAGATTGGTGGAAGATTCTTGAACTGATACACTCCGTACATGACCGCTGTCGCTTCATACGACAAGTTATGTTGCCCCAGACCGGTTTGGGCCGGACATATTGTCATCGAGTACGGATCATCGTCGGACCGTGTGACCTACGGTGCTCCATGTGAGCACCCTCCAGGTTCGCGTTTGGTTGCTCCTCTTGCAGCTCTGGCTCAGACCTTTGACGTTCTTGTTTCTCAAGCTAAGCAGATGAACATGACTCAACACGGTTGCTCATTGCGGGATTGGGGCATGCCAAACATACCTTTTGTTACACTCTTTCTTTTCATGACATGATTGATCGTTATGCAGTTCACAGGTTGGACTTTACCTATATGTTTCTATCACACTAAGCTGGGTAAGTTGACCTGGACTCTTCATCCGAGACATGTCAATGCAATCCTTCATTTGTGGTGCCGTGCTGTCTCCAAGCGTGCCTGTGACATCGCAGGCGGGAGGGGGGTCTGTCAACTTCGCATCATGTCAGTTCTGTTGCAGCAAAAAGGCTGTACATGGACATGTCTAGGGCGTGTCCCATTACCAGTAGTCGGCAAACAGAGGATCACTCATTTTGAGAAAGGCCTGCAACCAGGCCCCTTCACCCACTGGGCCTTGGTAATATTTGGTAACGGCATCTACCCAAGGCATGTCGTTTTTTCTTTCTAGTAGTAACAGGTGCCTTACTAGTAGTAACAAGTGCATCGCTAGTAGTAACAGGTGCCTCGCTACTAGGAGCAAGTGCCTTACTAGTAGTAACTCGGCTGGACTCGCTGGCGCCCGAGGCTTCACGCTTCGGGCAGCGCGAGACGCGATCTCTCTCTCGGCGGAGGAAGCAGCAAACGACTTGGGGAGCGAGCGACACGGAAGATGGGTAGGAGGTGGGTAGAGGTAGATGTATCAACTAGATGAGTAGGATGTGTATGCCAGTTTTCACCCCCCTGGAAGAAGTGAACTAGACTAGACCAGTCCAACCATTGGGCCAGGAATTCTCCCTATTATATAAATTAAATCGACACACACACCCCCATGTATCTTTTCTGAATAATGGAGAAGGGCTTTCATTTTGAGGGGTGCATCTACTGGTAACAAGGGCATTACCACGAGTAGCACAGTTCCCTTTGTGTTGTTTTCTAATTATACCCTTCACCCCGTCACCGCACTTCACCAAGCTGAAGCCCTTTTTGGTGTGTAGAGGCGAGACAAGGACTTCGCTGCCGTGCTGACAGTCTTAGTAGCTTGGAGGCGCAGAAGCAGACTGACTGAACCATGCCTCCAACCGACCAGCGATTGAACACAGAGTAACTGACAAAAAAGCAATGTTTTAGATCAACGCTGGCCCCTTCCAGCGATTCCCTTGAGCAGGCATGTTTTGCGTCCTCGACTGTAACAGCTCGATTCAGAGTGTCATTCGCCAAGAAATGTATCATATTCGCATGCGATGGCGAATTGTTCTGTCCGATAGGTGCTGCACCAAATCTATAACACACATGCAAGTTGCAAGATTGAACGTGTGATGTGTCAAACCAGAACTGTATGTCACATCATGCAGAGAAAGCATCATTCTGTCAGCTGCCAATCTTCACATCCTGCAGCCTTTGGGCAGGCACAGAAGGACACCTATCTTGGGCTGTCAGCGTGTGCGCTCATTTGCGACGTTGCAGGACCCCAAGCCTTGGTCTGTATTGAATGCAACTTGCAACCACATGCAACCACCTTTTATCTTTTCTCAGAGACCATTTGTGCAGCCTGACAGCGGCATGAGCGTGGACGTTTTGACCATGGCACATCTTATTTTGCCCTTCCAACAATACGTTGCGGGAACTTGAGCCTTCTCGCGTGCGAAAACATGCTTCCTTATATACAAATGCCTCTGCCAGGTTTACACTGGTTGACTAAAGTGACTAAAGTTCAGACCTGGGTGTAGTATAGTATGTATGGTATTTTAAAACATGTTCTTTTCTTCTGCATGTTTGTTCAAGGCACTACATCAAGCATCAGAAATCACCGAACTTGTTTGCAGAGGTGTAGAAGTTTTACTGGAATGAGCCGTCGAACCTTGCACACCAAACCAGGAGCTCAATGAGATCTCCCGAGTCTCGGTCAGTGCCATGGTGACAAGGGTCTGGAGGGTGTTTGATTTCTAACAAGAACAGTGAGTTGTCAAGGGATGGGCCAGGGAGCAGTGAGGGAATCAAGCTGATGTGAAGGCTGGACCAGCTCTTCAAATATTCAACACTTTCTGTCCAACTCGGCTGGACCCAGAATTCGGCGCAGACTGCTTTCGCGTCCGGTCGGCCAGGTCGTTTCCAACGTCTGGGGTGGCGGTCCAGGGATCCCGTTGCTGCAGGGGACACCGAGGAGAAGGGGAAGTGCTTGGTGGCGGCCTCGAAGCTGGAACCGGGAGAGCTGGCTGTGCTGGATCGTCCTGCCATGGTGCATGACCTTGACAGTGAAGGCGGGAGGGCGGCATGTGAGAGCGGGGAGGGGGTGGACTAGGGTGCAGCAACTTTATTCACGCATGGGGTAATCTGGAAGCTTGTTCATGTAGTGGAACAACTTGCTTGAGGTCCATTTGCTGTACTGGACTCCGAAGCGGTAGTTTTCAAGGAGAAGACCAGTTTTGTTACTAGAGTATGCTACACTTTGCATCAGAGCTTGCGTTTGGCAAGAAGGTAACAAGGCCCGGTGTTGCAGCGCCCTGAAACTTCCCCGAGAGAGTGGGGACCGACAGCATGTGATAAAAGTGGCTCCCTAGGGCCCTGGGCCCTCAACAACCTGAAAGTTCTGCGGCATGCGTGACACACACACACAAAGCAAGAAACTACCAACTCTATATCTATAGCCAAACATGTAGATGGAACAATGCATATCAAAGTGTTCGACCAGCTTTGCCTACATGTGATTACATACATTTGGCGTGTGTACATTGTTTGAAGACCCCAGGATGACAAAGTCCATAGAGGCCAAAGTCGCTCACAAAGCTTGCAGTGCCGAAATCGGGAGGAGGTCAGCGCCTTCACACAAGCAAGGCAAGGACCGAAGGAGTCCAAGTCGCTTTCTAAAGCTCGCAACTGTGGGCAATGTGCCATTGGACCAGCGGGAAGTAGCGCCAGTGCTCCATCATAGGGACATGAGCAGCAGGGCAGCAGCCAACGAGGTTCGCCGCAGTGATCACATCGCAAAAAGAGAAAGTTGACGGCAGCAAAGAAGGATGTCTAGGGCAGGGTCAGACATACACGGCCATGTTCATCAACACATCCACACAGGGCGGGTTATATACAGGAGAGAGCAGTCATGCGAGGCACACACACAAAATCTGCACACAAGTGGTCCAGCTGCAAGACGCCTGGTTAAAGTAGTGAGCCCTTGCACCTATGAGAAAACAATGATACCCGCAGGTATCAAAAACATCTGTACAAAACAAGGTAAGCTCATGGGCGCTCACACACACACACACATTCCAGCATGAGGCTGTTGGTCATCACTCGGTCAATCGCTTAAAATCAGATTCCTCCAAAGCAGCAGCATTGAGTCCCCACCCATGAAGTGGCAGTGAAACAAATGGCAGGTCACATCAGCGCCGTCACGAAGTTCCAGACTAAAGTATCATCCTTCACACCTTCTCTAAATACACCACGATGTGCAAGCACTCACCACTGTGTGCCGTGTCCAGCTCCAACGAGATGTGCCGCGTCCAGCACCACATGGTGCCCCTACTAAAGCCAATCTCAATGACACCAGCGTGTGTCCGTACTTTCCATGAACGTGCCATAGTTCTCAACCAAACGTTCACTGCCAGCATCACGACCTTCGCACAGCGTGCCACAGAGTCAGTCACTGATTCGAAGCATCGATAGAACACATCTTACTTTTCAGAAACCAGGGGAACAAGGCTCTCAGCCGCCAGGTTTTCTTGTCAAGGCAAGCCTCAACAACACCTCACAAGTGTCCACAGAGGGTGGCATAATCATCAATGTCGAAAGAGCCCAGTCTGATGAGTCATCACGCTCACTGTGATCTAGGAGCGCTATGGCAAGGATATCCGCCCCAGTTTTACGCCGTGGGTTAGGCGTAAAACGCCGTGGGAGTATGGAGAAGTCCACCTGCCCCGAGTCCGGAGGTCGCCCGCGCCATCGGCCCCATGTAGCAAGCGCCTTTGCCCCGGAGGGCATACATTTGGGGGAGTTTAGCCGTCTTAGCCCCCAGACTGCCGCGCGCCATCCCAGATACAGAGACAATATGGTCGAAGTTCCAGAAGTTGCCCAAGACGCTGCAAGAAGAAATTCTGAGTGACTTGCTGGCACATGAGTGTCTGACATTGTGCAGATCCCCCCAAGAGAAGTAGGAACCAACCCTTTCGATCAACAGAGGCTCCAGCGGGATCCTCTTGTGAATAAAACATGGAGGCAAATGGTATTAGTTTTACTCATGTTATACTCCTGTTGCGATGTCCAATGCTGTGGACAACCTTCTCTCCCTAGAGGAACTTAAACCCAGAGTCCAAATTTGGGCCAGTTTTGAGCCGCCCTGCAGATTGATCAGCTTTTGAATAGGTCTGTTGCCCTTTCCCCAATGGGTCTGTGGGATGCCAGGGTGCTAGGCACTCGTGAAGAGAATCAGTGTTCCAACTGAGGCTTGAAAGGCGATGTTTTCGAGTCTTTGCCCTTTTTGAAAAGTATTGGTCCTTTGAACACAGCAGACATCAGTAGATGACTTGCTTTCTTGAGCGGCCAATCTAGTGGGACAGAGTCCGCGCAGGCCCAGACACTTTCTTTCCGATGAGGTTTGTTTTGTCCAGAAGGTCTAGTACACTCATTGAAGGACTCGGAAGGGAACCATGGCTGAAGAGGAAGAGTCGTCATTGGATGGCCAAAACACTGGCCAGACGGTTCAGCTCAGAGAAGTGGCAAGTCAGACACTCTAGAATCTCTAGAACATTTTGTTAGTGACTGTTAGTGTTTCCCACTTCAAGTGTTTCAAGAAGTACTTTCCTTTTGTATGTCCTTTTCTGCCTTGTCAGTTCTTAGATGTTACGCATCTCCAGTGGAGTACAAACTCGCCTGGGTCGGGGTCAATCGATATGGTGTCAGCTTACATGAAGGTCAAATCTACAGATGAAGACCAATGACCCAGCACCCCGGGGGTGAACTTTTTTTGTATCTTTGGCATTGACTAGCTACTAGGAACAAGAGGCTAGCAAGGGCATCGCTACGAACGGAGCAAGGACGCTACTAGGGGCGCTCCTGGCCTTACTACTGGGAACAAGGACGCTATTAGTCTGATTCTTCTTTTCAGGTCTGGGGAGTTCCTGCTGTGGCTGACAGTGGCACGATCCACCGCCCCAAAATACATTCCGTGTGACAATTGCCAAAGAAATCGAACAGCAGCTTTTGTTGGCAGCATCGCAATCATTGTCAACGTCAGAAAGCCTCCTCATACATCAGCTTACTCATGGGTAAACTAATATGGCGGGCCATGACCTGCTGAATAGATCCAGAGACCTGAATGGACTTCCCAAATCTCGATGCTTTGAGCCAGCAACCACACAGGACGGGGGGGGCCAATAGTTGCAAGTCGAACATGCACAGAACTGATGCCCCAATACATGTTCATGGCAGCTTGACAGATTCATCCGTTTGAGTATATTTGTCGATCCTCATGCTTCAGCCTTTTGTTGTTTCCTCCCAGACCCATTCTTGTTTTTTCAATCCCATGTCCCATGTAAGGTCCCCAAACGGCACGTGAGTTAGAGTTAGGGGCAAGTCTAGCTGTTTTGGTGTGTGGTGAGTGCCCAAGATGACCGGTTGAGACGACATATCCAGAATATGCCCAGGCATTCAGATTTGGCTTTGCGAACGCCGGTTTGAGATGGCTTTTGCCAGGTATATGGATGCAACCACCGAGCAGCAAAAGCTCTTGGGAACCTTGAAGCTCAATAGCGTGAAGTTGTCAGGCAAAGCGCCCGAAGCACCCGGATAGGGGTTGATCAAGAGGAAGAGCAGAATGCTTTGCAGTGGAGGCAGTGGAGGTTCAAAGGATAAATTCAGCATGTAGATATAGGAAAGAAGGTTTATAGGGCACTTTTTACCTTCAATAACATTGAGATTCCGATTCAAAGTGTGTGTGACACATAGTAACGCCGCCCAAGTTGTCCAGTGGTGACGACCAAGTTCCATCAGCACATATTTCACAAGCCTTGGGCTTTGAGCGGATCAATCCCAACCAGCACCGGAAAGAAAAGGAAGGAATCGGGAATCAGGAAGTAATTGGAGTGATCCTTTTGTGACAGGTGTTTGGGTCCCTCAACCAGCAGCTAAAACAATGAGATTCTTGATGGTCCGTTGCAGTGATTCCCATCCCTGCAGCAGGCGGAACGGGCGCAGGGGTCTTTTTGACGGTGAGCCGGGCGAACCACTCCTGCTACCCCAACACCCGCTTTTACTTCGAAGAGGCAGCCGGGTTGCTTTGCCCATTTTCAGCGCTTGGGCGGCGGTTTTGGCGGGTTTCGGAAGGATATTTGTTGGGGTTTTGGACGGGTGGTTTCTGTATGAAGCGATGAGGGCTTTGTTTGGGAGCAGAGTCAAAGGATTGCACCTCAAGACTTGGGTGATTTGCTTTTTGGAGAATCCTTTCACTTTCAGGCATGTGGTCTGGGGGAATGACATGACCCAGACCTATCCAATAGGCTGGGTTTCCAGGCCTCCTCCCCTCATCTAGGCTTTTTCCCTCCTGCTTTTGCTGCCTGATAGGAGATGTGTGGCTTGAAGGTCTTGCGGAGCATCGAAGAGGGCGAGGAGAGTGGGAGCGAAGGATGGCACTGGAGTGTTGGGCAAACGGTCACATGTTTTGTGCCGCAAGTGCTCACGCAAAGAATCTGATCACTTGCTTCGGAAGCATTGAAACACTGTTCGGAGCCTTTTGAACTGCCAATCCTTGGGATCAAGCGTTCGGCGACACAGATTTGGTGGACATGGTGCATCGAGGGCCTGTAGTATATATATATATAAGTATATATATTGATTGTGCGACGACTCCCCTAGAAACGATCCAACTCCAAAACTATTTTGGCATTCAGATCTGTTCAAGACCGTCCAGACCCTTAGTTATATAGTTGCATGTGATTCGTACCCACCTCCTTTTGTACCTGCTGCTTAGGTTTCACACGAACCTTCACGTTTTCCTCTGATCTTGCCGGATCCCCCGACGTCCACCGCGCCATGGCCACACGTCCGGCGCCCCGCGTGGCGGCCACGGTGTATTTGCCCAGCGGCGCGTCGGCCTTTGTGTCGGTCTCCTCCACCTCGACGGTTGGGGATCTGAAGGCGGGGCCTGCTTCGGCCTCCTCAAACGGCCTTTGTGGCGTTTCGACCCGGTGGGAAAGTCTTGGACCAGGGTGACGTAATCTGAGCTCTTTTTCTCCTAGGTTCTTTTTCGACAGCTGTTAGTAGTTTTGCTCCAGCTGGTGGCAACAGTCCGATTTGTAGTCTCCTCACATTTGGCTATTTTGGAAAACCAAGACTGAAGGGACTCCGGCAAACGGGTTGTTGTGCTATTTCGAACAACACTCATATTTGGCCGCGCAAAGAGAAGGCATCTCTCAGCCTTCAGGTGGCCGCCCAGCGGATTTTGAAGCAAGGCCCCCTTCGACTTCTCAATGCTGATGGAGCTGTGCTGGACTGCCGACGTTTGGCCAAAGAGGCTCTGAAGGAGAACGAGACCTTAACGGGCCTGGTACAGCGCATGGGACTTTGTGCCACGCAGGGTGCTCTGGCTTTGTGGTCTGTGGGTGGGGAGGTCGTGGTTTTTGGTGACAAGGACGAGGGCGGCAACCGGGAGCGCCTCTCGCAGGTTCAGAGCATTGCCGCAAGTGAGTCAAGCTTTGCGGCCTTGAAGGCAGACGGTTCGGTGGTATGCTGGGGCGACCTGTACACGGAGGTGGGCAGGGGTCGCGAGTGTTGAAGTAGAGCGATGTTTTTTTTGCGCATCAACCTTTACGGCGCCGCAGTTGGAATTCTTGCTTTCTTCCGCTCAATTCTGGGGTTTCCACGTCATGGCTCATGACTCAATTGACTCATTTGACTCATTTGACTTATTTCTTTTCAAAGGAAGCATACAAGCATACTGACCCAGCTCGGGAGTCAGACATAAGAAGTTGGGACGGGGAAGTGCTTGGCCAGCTTGACCTGCTCGACGTCGAAAAGCAGTTGTTCAATGTGCGGGAGATCGAAGCTTGTGAGAGTGGCTTTGCCGCTCTTCGAGCCTCGAAAAGAAAGGAGGTGCTTGGTGATGATGGGTGATCATCGGTGATCATGGGTGGATTGGGAGAAGCATGAAGTACTTTCTCTCATTTTGTTTTGTGGTATGCGACTGAAGGTGATTGTACTGAAGCTGACACACACACACATACGCTCAAGAAGTTGGGGTCACATGTTAAGACTCTTTCTTAGAGTGGGGCTTGAGCCCGGTCAAGCAAGGAGAAGATGGACGGGTGGTGACCTGGGGAATGTCCAGCAGTTGCCCTGTCGAGCTGAAGGATGTCCAACAGATTAAGGCCAGTGCATCGGCCTGTGCTGCCTTGCTCGCAGATGGAAGCGTCGTGACTTGGGGGAGGGTTGACAGCAGCCAGGTCCAAGAGCAGCTGAGACATGTTCAGAGGATTTTTGCTACACGGCTCGCCTTTGCGGCTCTGTTAGCTGATGGCTCAGTCGTTTGTTGGGGTGACCGATTTCATGGGGGTGACTGCAGTGCAGTCCAGGAGCAGCTGAAAGATGTGCAACAGATCTTTGCCTCCCGGATGGCTTTTGCCGCACTTCTTCAAGATGGATCGGTGGTCACCTGGGGGTCCCCACACTATGGTGGAGATAGCAGCCCGGTGCAGGATCGCTTGACCAACGTTCAAGACATCCAAGCGACGACCGGTGCCTTTTCGGCCTTGCTATCCGTCCTGAGACCTTTAGGCTTAAGCAAAATGCGTCGTGTCATGAACTCAAGCTGCGAAGGTTGCTTGGTCGTGTTCTTGAAGCCATGCGGCTAGTTGAGCAAGACGCCCCGATTCCTAACATCTTGAAGAAACGCATCTGGCACCACCCATTGGTTCGTAATCAAGGGTTCCATAGGATTGAGGATATTCAATCTTGGTGTCACAGTGAACTTGAAAGCTTTCTCCGCCAAGAGAAAATTGCGCGTCTCCAGAAATGGCGTCAGCACATTCGTTCCGATCCCAAGGCGGCTGCCAAGTGGGTGCGCAGAGAACATCATGCGCCGGTCACTTCTGTCTATGAAGACACTTTTGAGCAGGGCAGGCCTTCATCCAACAACCAAAAATCACTTGAGGCCATTCGTAAATTCTGGGAAGGTATTTGGCACCGGCAGGGGCCTGACCTCGATAGAGCAACCCAAGCCTGGCAACAACACATGCCAGCAGAGCCGGAACAGCCTTGGAATGACATCACACCACAAGAGCTCCAGATCCAAGCTGCGCAGCAGCGTGGCAAAGCTCCTGGGCCTGATGGTTGGAGTGGTGACGAATTAAGTTTTTGGCCTGCTCAAGCCTGGATTGTCTTTGCCGCCCTTACTAATAGGTGGTTAAATAGAGAAGAAACCCCCAACGTCTGGGCTAGCGTGAGACAAGTCCATATTCAGAAGCCTGAAGCCGTTTTGCGTTCAGACGGAGCCTTGCATGCTAAGCATTTGCGGCCTATTGCCATTCAATGCGTCCTTTGGCGGATCATAGCTTCCTCTTGGACCTGCCGCTCTGACACACGGCAGTGGGTGCAACGCTGGGCGCACCCTTCTGCGCAAGGGGGAGTTGCTGGCCGCAGCGTTGGTCAGGCGATTGACATCTTGCTTCAAGAGTTTGCTAAGAAGGACAAAGTCCTAGTCAGCTTAGATTACTCAAAGTGCTTCGATCATGTCGATCCTAAGATAGGTATTCGATGCTTGGTTCATCTCGGCTGTCCCAGACAAATTGCCGGCCCGTTGTCAGCCATTTGGCTAAACCAACGCAGGTGGTTGACGTACAACGGTGAGTGCCTCCCTGAGGCCCAGCAGGTTAGTTCGTCTTTACCGCAAGGGGATTCGCTAAGTCCCCTCACCTTGATCGCAATTGTCTCAGGCCTTTCGGCTCATATTGTGCACGACGAGCCGGAGCCCCACGTTTTGACAACTTTCCTGGACGATCGAAATTTCATAGCTTCTTCTCCTGCCCAGGCGGGCCGGCTTTTCCATAATTGGAAACTCCTGTCGGATGAAGTAGGCCTCAGTGAAAACTCGAATAAAGCTAAAGTCCTTACTAGGAAACAGAAATGGCAACAGGATTTGATCGATGAAGGCTTTAGTGCTGATCAAATTGTGCCTTCCACCAGAGTTTTGGGGGTTGATGCAACGGCCCGCCTGGGGGCTGCCATTAAACCTACTCATGATCTGCGTGTGCGTCAAGCGCAACAGAGAGCTGATCGCATTGCTCTGCTCCCGGTGACTTCTCAGCACAAAAGAGGGCTCTTGGCAAGCATGGTGGTTCCTAAGGCTGTTTGGGGTACGTGGACGCGCCGCCCACCTGCCTCCAAGCTTGATACTAAGATTAAGCGTTGTTCTGGGTGCCACCAGAGTGCTTCAGTAGACCTGTGGGTTCTGCTAACTGGCCATGGCCTTAGTGTAGAGTTTTGCTCAGGTTTCCAAGCTTTTTCTTATCTCGCTAAGCAAATTCATCGAAGACCTCGACAGTGGCAGCCTCGCCCTCGCAGAGGCACATGGGTGCACCGAGTTCAAAAATGGCTTGCCTCACTTGGGTGGACAAGTGTAGCGCCGTGGATGTGGAATCACCCGCGGCAAAACTGGAATTTGAATCTTCAAAACCCAATCACAGAAAGGGATGCTCATGAGATTCGTGAGTCTTGGCGCTGGCAGCGCTTCCAAAGTTTTCTGAATAGCAGCCGCAGAGATGCGACCAGTGTGCAAGGCGTTGTCGTCGATGCTCGACGTATTTCCCTTGCTCGCAAGCTTTTCCGGCAGCAGAATGTTCATGGTTGTGGGGTCATGATGGGTGGAGTGATATCCGACGCCCGTTTTGACAAAATCAGAAGTGTAAACCTTGGCGGTTGCCAATGGTGCTCCGAGGAAACAGTGCCGACGTGGCACCACCTTGCATGGGAATGTCCTGAGCTTGCGGCCACTCGTTGTCGTCTGCCTCAGGATCCCTTGCAGAGAGTTTTGGGCTGGCCGACTGGGGCCGACAAGGCATATGATGAGGCAGTGATGGTTCACTTGTCAACTGTGCGTCAGCGCATCCTTGACAGAAGATACCGTCACATGTGATTCTCGCCCTGAAGTGTTTCTTGTGGTGGTATGGTCTACTTGGCCTGCTACCAGTTCAAACTCAATAACCTTTTCGGCCTTGCTGTCGGATGGCTCCGTCGTCTCATGGGGTGAACGGCTCAAAGACAGCGAATGTGTTCAGCAGCTGGTGGATGTGAGGCAGCTGGCCTCCACTGATGGTGCCTTTTGCGCGGTTTTGGCCAATGGATTGGTACAATGCTGGGGCCATGGCTTTCCTGATGCTGGGGACTCTGGCTTGGTGGATGTGCAGCTCAGAGATGTGCGGGAGGTGCTTGGGGCGCGGAACACCTTTGTGGCTCTCCGGGCTGATGGCGCCATCCTTATGTGGGGCGGTAGATACAAAGACAGCCCAGAGCTGCGGGAAGAGTTAAAGAGGCTTTAACATGCGCCAAAAGCAGGCGATTGATGCATGAACGTGCAGTGGTAGATACAGTATTCTGATGGTGTGGAGAGAGGCAGGTGTCTATGTTTGGAGGTGGACTAGCATGAAACAACACGGGGAGTCGAGAACTTGCATCCTGCCGTAAGAACAGGATGAAGTGGTGGAAGAAAGAGAGCAATAAACGTACAGCGGACTTCAGAAAAGTTTCTTGACTCATCTTCATAAATGTTGTTGAAATCAAACAAAAGTGACTCATGTTCGTACTTGTTCTTTCCTGTTCCTGCGTTGGTAGACCTCAGCACATCTCAGCTGCTTGTGCTTGTCAGAAAGAAAGTGCCTCCAGGAGATCACGGTCTCTTACCTTACGGATCGTAGTCTCCTGCAACCGATTGCCCCGAGGCCGACGAACAGTGTCGGGAGATGGTTGGGTGATCTGGGTTCATTGAGTTTAAGAGGAAAGTGCATGGAGTCTCCTTTCGAAAAAGGAATCGCTTGAATTCGTTGTTTTAAGTAAGTGCCGGCAAGTTGGAGGACATTTTCGTAAATTCTTGGAGCCCCTCACACTGGCCAATGCACTGTGCTACTAGAACACGGGGCAGGGGCTGGGTCGAGGTGTGCCTGCAGTTCTGGGAGCGGCGTATTCCTTTGCAAGACATGTAAACACTCACGACTTCCGATGCGTGCCTTCCGCATCGCTAAAACATTCCCGGCCAACTCACCAATGTTTGATGACCGACACCATCAATGTCTTTGGGGTTCCATGTCCTGGGTTTTGCTTCGGGCATTTTTCAATTTTTCCTATGGTCAAAATGTTCTTCTGGGAAATATCTTTATTGTTTTTTTTCCAGGTGCCTTAAGCCCAAGATTTCTGAGTTCCGTCTCATCATGATTCCAAAGCCTCCACCTCCACCTTGAGAGTCCTGGAGTGCAAGACCTGGCTACCTCCACCATGACTCCATCGTCTCACATCGACCTAGGCAAACCTCGCTCCAGACCTGGCAGTTCCGCTGCCAGTGCCAGCGCTGCGCTGCCCCCTCCGACGACGCGCGCGCGATGCGCTGCCGCTGCGGAGCGCTGCGCAGGGCGACTGCGGAGGGCTGGGGGAGGTGCCCGACCTGTGGAGCTGACGATCAGGAGCCGAAGTGCCAAGTTTGATCTCTTTTTGCTGATGGTTTGGTTTGGAAAGCTGTCAATGGAATTCTAGCTCACATGCTTTAAAATGGTTGCACCAGCCAGTCAACGGCAACGCTCGCAACTTTGAGAAATTTGCACAGTTGCGTGTTTCTTCAGCTACTAGTAGTGATGCCCTTGCTACTAGTAGCGATGCCCTTGTTACTAGTCAGTACCGCGGCCCCAGTTCGAAAGATTGCGCGGTGTTGCCGGGACGAAGGGGGCGCATAAGGTGTGTTCTCGGTGTGCTGGGGGCTGTCCGAAGGCGGTGTAAGGATGGATGGCGCAGGTGGTAGCACCTGCCATGGATCCCCAGGTGAGAACCACCCTGACCCTTTTTTGGTGATTTCAGGAGATGCGCCGGGCCTCGAGCCGTTGGTGGCTCCGCTACAATGCTCCTTGGTGGAGGTACGCACCGCATTGAATTGTTGGTGCAGCTGATATGTGTCCAGCTCAAAAGCCACTGCAGCTGCAAGAACTTGTTAAAAGTCCAAACATGTCCAAATGTTCTTTTATATTTTGCTAGTTAAATACAAAATACAATTTTGTTCTTTCTTTCTTCCTTGCAATGATCTGACACCGAGGCCCAACTATGCAGGAACAAGTTACAGCGAGAAAGGACAAATGCACGGAAGGCACGAAAGCAAGATACTGAGGGCGTGGCTGAACAAAAGTGCAAAGCTGGTTGCAGACTCGAGGAAATCAAACTCGTTGATTAATTACGGCTTTGAAAAGCGGTGGTGTCGTCAAAGTAAAGGACAAATCATTCTGATGAAACCAGCGCCACCTACCAGTGAAGGCCGGGATGCGATGCCCGGCTTTGCGGAAGAAAGGCCCAATTTGCGTGCTGACAATGCTTTGGCCCAACGTGCAAAAGGCAAATCAACGACCCCTCTGTGAACAAGCATTTTGAAACAACTGGCAAAAGTACTGACATCCCGTCCCAGAGAAGGAGAGACATGGTACACAAGGGGATTGTGTTTGGAAGGGTACCTAGCCGCAACCACTCTTCTTAGTCCCAGGACTGAGTGTTGGGGCTCGAGGACGTGCATGCGCTATGAAGTCAATGTACAGTTCACACCAAGGGATGTCGTTTTCAGGACAAACAGGATCGCCATCAGGCCAGCGTAGCATAAGCGCCCATCGTAACAAGGCATCAATGAAGGCAGTTGGCCAGTTCCTGACATGCATTTCTTCCAAGCTGCTCGAGCTTTCACATGGCTACTAGGGGCTCCTGGCATCGCTACTAGGAACAACGCTACTAGGGGCTCCAGGCCTTACTACGAACAAGAAGCTACTAGGAGCAAAGGGCATCGCTACTAGGAGCACGGACGCTGAGCCGGTCGGCTCAGCTCAGGCATGTGCGCCCTTGGCGGCAGAGGCGGAGCTGAGTAGCTGCTGGTGGCGTCGGGGCATGCATGGTCGGCCGAGCAAAGTGAAGAGCCAAGGGTGGATGGAGGCCGGCTGAAATCCATGCGCCGCCTGGGGAGATGGGCATAATTGGACGTGGGGTTGACCTCGGGGAGGTGGACGATGAAGGGAAACATGAGAGGAATGGAAGATCGAACAGGAAGTCTACATGGATCATTATTGTATCTTTCCTTAGTCATGAAAAACGGTGTTTGTTTTCCGCTCGTGAACGCGCAGGAGGTGGTGGCACTGTACCGTGAACTGGCGACCACGGAGGGGCCCCGCCCCGACCCCTCGGTGCACTGGATGGGGGCGAGCCTGGCGGCCTTCGCCGCGGACGCTCGGGCGACCGGATACCGCCATCTTCCCAAGGAACACCATGAAGAAATAGTTACGGGAGAAGTACCGGAGAGAGGGGAGAGAGAGGCAGTCTTTGGGGATCACAGAAGAAGTTGTGGGTTGAGGTTCCTCCTTGAAACAGATATGTTTTTTGTTGGAATGAAGGGTGCGATGATTGTTACCTTCGCATTGTATGTACATGATTGCTTTGCCCTGGCAACTGAGATGAACCCAAGTAATTAGCTGGGATGCACGCCCTGAACCCTGTCAAAATCATCATAAATAATCCTTTCGCTATATTTGGTCAGGCCAAACATCCTCGAACTCAATTCCCCCACCCATCTCAGCATTGTTTTGAGCCAATTCGCTTCAATCGCCCAGGAAGCCCATCTTTGGCGGGGTGAATTTGCCGAAGCTGTCACTTGGAAGGAACTGCCATTCTCACCGGAGTCGATGGACGGTCAGAATGAGTTGGGCAGTCAACTATGTTTTACGATTGACAGCGTGGTATTTTCTGTCCACCTTGAGAGGAAACTCTGCCAGAGGGATCATGTTCCTGTGTGAGAGGGTTGCATGAGATGATCTGTTTCGGCGGCATCGTGAAACTTAAACCGCTGTTGAACGTCTCCATCGCCAAAGAAAGATACGGCCCAAGCAGTGGGACAGGTCAATGTAGTACATGTTCACTTAGCGCAAAAGCCACCAAGGGCAAAGCTACTAGCTTGAGTTGAAACTGGAGATACGGGGAAAGTGGATCAGTGGATGGGGATACGGGCAAAGTAGATGGGCGGCGGGCAGAGGCTGGGGGGTGCTGCGCAGCGGCCTAAATAGAATTCACCCACTTGAACTGTTAGACTATTAGGTCGGAGGCCATCGCTATTAGGTTGGAGGCCGCAAAAGCTGGAGGGCATCGCTTCTAGGTCGGAGGCCATCGCTATTATGTTCCTTTTGCTATTAGGTTGGAAGCCATCGCTTCTAGGTTGGAGGCCATTGCTATTAGAATCAACGAATCCCATCTGCATCCGAGGCCTCTGCGGCCTCTGCGCGCCTGCATTATGTGCAGCGGGTTGTCGGTGATGTGGACTTGGCAGCTGTGCGCTGGGCCAAGGCGGCCTCTAGGGATCCGGAATTTGGGGGGTGAAAAGCTGTGAAAAGCTCCGCGAGATCATAGAAGATCTCCTCAAGCTATTTACAATTATAATGATTAATGCAGACTCTTGATCAAATAACCCCCCTGTATGAAGAGGCCAGCTGGTGAGCTGGTGGAAGTGCTTCCCCAGCAGTGTGAGGGAAGTCATGTTTGCTTGCCGTTTCATTTCTACCAGAAGACGAAAGACCACAGCAAAGCTGGAGGCAGAAGATGAGAAAGAATCCGAAGACAAGTACAATAGATGTCAATGAATAGTTAGTATGTTATATAGATAGAAAGATAGATAGATAGATAGATAGATAGGTGCGATGAAGAATGTTGCCTGATGTGATGTGTGATGTTGCTGTTGTGAAGTAGGATGATGATGATGATGATGATGATGAGGAGGAGGAGGAGGAGGATCATGACCATGTGTGTGTGTGTGTAGCCCTTGGAATCATCAAGGGCCCTTTGGCTCTTGTTTTTAAGAATGCACTGGACCACCAGGGTCCCGGAGGAGCGGTTGCCAACGAAGACCTCCTTTGGGACACGTGTAAACATACCTTCTCAACTGGATACCTGTTGTTCTCGCTGTTTTGGTGGTTGATGTGGGGAGAACACCGCAGTCACGCATCCTTCTTTGCACTTGAGCCTTTACCTTTACCTTTTTGAACTTCAATCTTTGAGGCTTTTGGAAGATGGTTGAACCCACTAGTTGAAGGGTTTGATTTGGAAACATGGTGTGAATATGCCAGGCAGCATGATTTGTCATTTTTTCGCTGGGAGGCCACGCGCGACGTTGCCCAAGCGATGGAGTGCGAGAGGGAAAATCCGCAAGATGCCAGCAGGTGTGGGGCGAACATCCTGGAGCACGTCAGCGATTCAACCTAAAAACAGATCATTCTTTCCACAAAAGCAAGCCAATTAGAATCTGGAGGTGATTTGAAGAGGGACTTTGCGACAAACTCCACGGGCCCCATGTTCTGAACACAAATGAATGGCAAAACCAGAAGTTGGGCCTCTTCAGCACACCCAAGAAGTGGGTCTCGGAGACATGGGCATAACCAAGTCACAAAGTGGTTTAAGAACAGACGACAGTAAAACATACAAGACTACCTGATGCTTCCAACAGAATGAACAATGCTACACCACTTATAGGTCTCCATCGGACACCCCTTGGAAGCACTGGGTGTATATGACTGGAGTGCATTTTGGAACCGCCCGCTCAAGAATCCACTGTCGTTGTTGGAAGTTAAATGAATAACTTATAACAGTCTTTTTTCAGTCTCTTCAACACGTGTTCTTGGAGCTGGCCGCCTGACGTGAATTTTTCTGAGGACTGGACTCACAACTCTTCCCGCATGGCGGACATCTTGCTCTCTCCCAGATCCCCACGAGAGGAGCACGCCGCAGTCGGCGTTCGCGTCGAATCGTGGATGTCGTGTTCGCGTTGCGAACCGTCACGGTTTTCAGTTGCAATTCGGGTTGCGGCCTTGGAGTCCAGCTGGGCCTGTGAGTGTCAGATTCCGATTCTTTGAGAAAGTTGTCCAAGCCTGTCTGTCAGAACAAGTTCTTTGCAGCCACTGCCTGTAGTCCGATTTGGTGCGCCAGGAGCCCTCTCCAGGCAGAAGCTGGGATCATGGAGAGTGAGTTGGTGGCAGAGTCGTCAGAATGTCGGTGCGCGATTTGTTCCAAGACATCCTGCAACATCGTTGCATCTCCTCAGACGGCGAGAGAGTCTGAAGACACTCCCTGGTTTCCCCACTCTGAGAGTCTGGTGGGTCCGGTCCATTACGGTCCCCTCCGGACCATCTTCCTTCCACCGTGTCGAGAGTCCCGTCGCCAGGGGTGCGGAGTGCGGGGCCGCCGGGAGGCTCAGCTACTGAAGGAGGTATACTCGACCACTTTTAATGCTTGTTTCTAATAGCTTCTTGTTACTAGTAGTAAAGCATTTGTTACTAGTAGCGATGCACTTGTTCCTAGTAGCTTATTGTTTCTAATAAGGATGTCTTCCTTCAAAAGTCAGATGAAAAGATGGATGCTCCAAGCAGTTGACATCCAGGCTGTTGGATCCCAGGTATCCATGTCGGATCACCTGCACGGAACTTTGAATAGCTTGCAGTTGGTCGGTCTTAAACATCCTGGAACAACACAAACACCTGCTGGCAAAATGCGGACTTAGACAAGAACCCATGGGTGCAGGGAAGTGTTGAGAAGTTGTCAGGTTCTATTCAGCTGTCCAGCTGACCATCATTGTGCCATTGTTGTCATATTGCGTCTATTTTTGGAACTTTCGACCCTTTGTTGAGTACGCGAAGGCCTTCCTTTTTCACAAGCTCGGGTGCGCCTCCGGTTTTTTCCCAAGAAAAGCGACCACCCCCTTTGACCGCCTGTTTCGAGGCTGCGAAAGCCATCCACCCGTGACTTCCGTCGAACATGCACCCAGGTCGGAGTTGTGGGCCCCCTGGCTCTTGAGCTACGAGAAGGACTGGCTTGAATGAACTGCACCCCTCGTGATTGGGTGTTGAGCGAGTGGTGTGCCGGAGCGCCATGGGTGTGGCGGGGCAAAGGGGAGACCCCCCTTGCCTGTGCTCCAAGCGGGAGAAGCATGGTCTTTTCTGGAAAGAGACCCGGGGTCGACCGAATCGACCTAATCACTGGATCACACTTACAAGATCTTCCACAAGATGAACGAACAAGACCAAGTCAAACCCACGTTACATTTGATTGTGTTTGTGGAGACCTGTATCGTTCTTGAGAGCCCTACTTTCATCATGTCTGACTTGCCCATGTATCCCCACCAAGGTTGGTTTCCCGGTTCCCGAAAGTCGTTGTTTTTGTGGGTGCGATTGTTGCGCTTCTTTCTTTTGTGGAGAGTGGGCCGAGCCTTACCTGACTCGCATCTGCGCCTGCTTGGGGAGGAGCTTCGAACTCGGCACACCTTAGGAGGCCAGGAGAGGAATCAAGGGAGCAGCGTCTCACAAGCGACATGTCCATCATTGTTCGTCATTTTGTTCGTTTTTCCAATTTTTGGAGGTGTCAACATAAACCATTGCCGTCGATGATGGTTGGTATTTTATTCGGTTGATTCATTCCCTACTCAGTGGATTCACTCGGAATGCTTTGAAGATCGATGAGATGTGGGTATAGCCCGATCAAATGTGCATCCCAGCACAGACTGACTTGTGACTTCAACTGACTTCGGGATTCGCCTTTAGCACAAAGTTCAATATAGTGCTCTTGCCCCAAAAGATGTGAGTGTGGCTTTCAAAGAGGGCCATAAGATCGGATCGCTTGATGACAGATCCTGAATGGATCCCAATGGATCTCGATGATTTCAGCTGCCTAGCTCTTGTGGCAAAAACCCTTCACAGCAGGGACCGCGGGACCCGACCATCGGACCCGGTGCCAGCGGTGCCAGCGGTGCCTTCGGCGGTGCCTTTGCCCTTGCGGCTTCTGGGCTCCAAGCTGAAGCGAGGCGGGTGCCTCGTGAAACACCGCGTCCCGGCCTTTTTGCGGGGGTGCCTGGGAACCAATACCTCAACCGAACGGGAGTGTGTAAACGGTGGATGGATCAAACTGCCTGAGATGAGGAAAACATCTAGTCTTGCTACATGGGAGTTCGCAATTGCCGAATACCTTCACTTAGCTGTGCTCTGTTGATCTTTTTTTGGGAAAATCTCCATGTCGTGTTGTGGAATGCAACCGGCACTGTACACGTCCTCGGCTTGACCTGCCAGTGTGCCCGAGTGGTGGAAGAGGTTTTACATCTTGATATTGGGGGTTTGTAGAGTCTACTGCATAAATTATTGTCTCAGCTATTTTCAGCTTCATGTTTTTGGCGGTTTTCAAGTGTCTTCGAGGTTGGTGATGTGCAGTGGGAAAGAACACGTAAAACCTTTTGTGTCATGGATTTTGAGTGTAAATGCACAACGGGCTGTGGCACTTTTTAGCACTATCAATGTCATTCTGCAATGAGTTTCAACTTGAGAAGTGGTTTGATGATCAGGGAGAAAACGGTGGTGTAGTAGTGCAAGCATGGTAACGGACACTACAAATGACACAGACACACTGCAGACCAAGGAAAGTTCACGTGAGGCCACATGGCACTTGT